TCAAACTCACGTCTCCTTTTGTCAAATCCTAACTCCCTCCACTACTAGGTCTCTCACTGAGCAATCTTCCTCTGCACCAAGGTGGGATTAGTTTCTTCTCTGAATGGATTCTACTTCATTGCCTCCAAATTTATTTACTTTTAAGTCCTGAGGCCTGGATGTGACTGCAGGACTATTTTTTTGATTTTGTTTTATTTTGTTTTTTCTTTTGTCCTCGGAGGGAAGCAGCTTGAATCCTGTATGCGGACTACTCTGAGCTATGATGGCTGTCTAGCTATCAAGCAAGTGGGTGCCCCTCTTCATGGCAAAATTTGTTATTTCTGTTGCCATTTAATTAATGCAGAAATGTCTGTTTGTTCTCTTCACAGTCTGTTGTGTTAACTGTGTGTTTTACTCAGCCACTTTGGAACTGTGCCCCTCCTCCTACCTTCCCCACCCCCACCCCCAATGTGAGACAACGCATGTTTATTTGTTGCGAGGAAAAAAACAATTTTCAGCAGCATTATATAACAGCTGCTGCAATGTGGATGGAGGAGGTAGAGTGAAGAGTAGGAAGGAAATTAGGGCTTTTGAATTGTTTTATATAAACAAGTGAGTTAATCCTCATAAGACTAGAAGTCTCCTACACACTTCTGCTCCTAGATAACACATTTCTGAGAACTCTATTGGTCTTCTTCCTTGTAAAGACTGTTTCTCCTTAATGTGTCTCAATGAAATCATCTGCAAATCAGGGATATTAGGTAGTTGTTCTTGGAATTGTTCCTGTCCAACTAGATGATGATGATGATGATGATGATGATGACTGACATCTGTGTGACAGGCACTATGCTAAGCGCTTTCTCATTATTATCTCATTTGATCCTCTTAACAACCCTGGGATAGTGGTGTTCTTATGATCTCAATTTAACAAATGAGGGAACTGAGGCAAACAGAAGTTAAATAACATGCCCAGAGTCACACAGCTAGTAAATATCTGAGGCCAGATTCAGGTCTTCATGACTCCAGACCCAGCTGTCTAACCATTGTGCCACCTAGCTGCCCCTAGGTGTCTGCTGTACTGATGCCTCATTAGCTTGGAAACTTAGTTATTCATTATTTCCATGCTGTTAGAAACTTTGATTATCTCTGAATTACTAAATCCTAGGGTTCTAGGATATTTGAAATATAGGATTGTAGAAGCATAGACCTAGAGCCAGAAGGGACCTTAGAAATTATCTAGTCTAGACATTTTAAACATTTTATTTAGTGTTCTGGACTCCTTCAGCAGTCTGATGAGACCAATGGACCCCTTCTCAGAATCATATTTGTAAATCATTGAAAGAAATGCTAGATTTTAGTACGAGGTTAGTGAAAATAAATTTGCATTGCTCTCCATTCAGGTTCACAGACCACCTGAGATCTCTCCATGGACCTGTTGGGGAGTCTGTGAAGCCCATTAAAGAATTCCAATCTAGACCAGTCTTCTCCTTTATCAAATGAGGAAGATGAGTTTCTGAAAAGTTAAGAGATTTAACCAAGGCCACCCAGGTGATAAGCAGCAGAGCTGGGATTGGAAGGAAGCTCCTTTTGTTCTTTTGTCTATCAGGGTCATTTTTACTCCAGTAGAGTCCCTCAATAATTGCATAATTCAATTGCATTCAATTCAACAAACATCTATTAAACGTCTTGTGTACAAGGCTTTGGGCTAGCTCCTCATAAATGAGATAGGCCAGTTATGTAGGTGCGTTGATGGATCTGTGAGGGGCAGCGGGTGGCACGATGGATAGAGCACCAGGTTTAGAGTCAGGAAAACTTGGGTTCAAATCCAGACCTGGGCAAGTCACTTCACCCTGTTTGCCTGAGTTTCCTCATCTGTAAAATGAGCTGGAGAGGGAAATGGCAAACCATTCCAGCATCTTTGCCAAGAAAACCCCAAAGGGGGTCATAGAGAGTTGGACATGACTGAAACAACTGAACTTTATGGCTTTGTTATCTGATACAGAGAGCAACCCATTCTGTGGGACTCATCCCTGTTTTTCTATAAATGTTGCATAGACAGAGTACCCCCCCCCCCTTATTAGAACCCTTTCTTTGGTTCTTTGGATATCTTCAGGCTTACAGTAAAGCATCCCATCTGACCATAGAGATAGAAGCTGCCCAACTTGGAACCACCTTATTTTCTGCATACCCAGACAAAAATATAGTAGCCCAGTTTTCTGTAATCCAGGTAGCAGACATTTGAAATGCATAGGTAAATGGTCTAGCTAAGTCCCAGAACACTAGGGCCTGGAGTAAAGATGATTGAAAAAAAATGGTCTTTGAGTTCTGCCCTCAGTTATACATAGTATAGTTATTCAATTTCCCTCTTTCTCTGCACAATGAAGAGCATTAGATTTGAAGGCAGAAGGATTAGGTTTAAATCCTGGCTGTTAACAACTTGGTAATCTTGGACAAGTCATATAACTTCCATGGACAACAGTTTCTTTACCTTGAAAATGAGGCAGTTGAGAAAGACAGATAGATATAAATATATAACACATATTTATATGCACATATATACATATGTAAACACACAAGTACAAATGTCTATATATAGATAAATGCACATATATAAAATATATTACACATATGTGTGTGTGTGTGTGTGTGTACACACACCCATATCTAAGGGTCCCTTCTATCTCTAGATCCTTTGATTTATTATCAGTAGTTTTCCTTCATTTATGTCCTAGGTTTTGTATCTTGTTAGCATTATAAACTTACGATCTTTTTTTGCCCTGGTGTCTAAATATCTTTTATGTATGTGTTCTATGGGAACTGAACTCATACATTACCTTCCCCTAATTGCCTGCATATGTAGTGTAGGGCAACACCCTAATTCTGCTGCATGTTTCCTAGAAAGGTGTGTTGCTGAGCCCTACCACAGTGAGCTAGATGGGCATCTTTGCTTTATTCTTCGGATGGATTTCATCTCCTTTCCAATCCACTTATTCTCTTTAAAATGTTAGGGGAATGTGCAATATGTCATTCCCTATTCTATATAGGGTGTCTCAGACATGGATAGTGTCCAATCCATGTCATTCGTTTTAAACCCCAAATCATGCTTTGAACTTGTCGAGTGCCTTCCTGTAGATCCATACTACACTAAGTGACTTAAGAGCACAACTCCTTTCTCTCAAGTGTGCTCTTATATACTCCCAAGCTTTCCTCATGTCAGCTCTCTCAGACTTTCTGAATTAAAGCAGCAGAGCTGGGATTGGAATGAAGCTCCTTTGGCTCTTTGTATTTCAGGGGTCATTTTCACCTTGGTAGAGTATCTCAATAATTCCATAATTCAATTGCATTCAATTCAACAAACATCCCACTACACATCATTGCAAAACTTTCCCTTTGACTTTGTAGAAAAGTCATCATCAGCATTGAGGTAGGGTGGTGTGATGGATAGGGCAATAGACTTGAAATCAGAAAGAATCAGGTTCTAGTCCCATGGCAGACACTTACTGGCAGTCTGACCCTGGGAAAGTCACTTCATTTCTCTGCTTCTCAGTTTCTTTATCTGTAAAATGAGGCAACTGGAATCATTGTGCTCTAGGGTTCTTTCTAGCTCCCAATCTGTGCTCTATGAATCCTCTTTGCATATTCTTCCTCTTTTACTCCAACTGTGCTCCAGATACCATCTCCTCTAACCACTTTAGGGACCTTAGTCAGCAATTATTTATAGAGCACTTTAAGGTTTGCAAATTCTTTACATATATTATTTCATTTTATCCCCACAACAACCCTGCAAGGTAGGTACTGTTATTATTCCCATTTTGCAGATAAGGAAATGAAGGCAGGCAGGTTAAATGAATTTCTTAGGGTCATACAGTAAGTACCTAAGGGAGGATTTGAACTCATGTCTTCCATACTCAAAGTCCAACACTCTATGTACTGTACCACCTAGTTGCTTCAAACATACATAGGTCTACTCTATCTTGAAAGAAAAACCTTGGGGTATCTAGGTGATGCAGTGGATAGAGCACCGGCCCTGGAGTCAGGAGGACCTGAGTTCAAATTTGACCTCAGACACATAACACTCACTAGCTGTGTGACCCTGGGCAAGTCACTTAATCCAGAATGCCTCACCAAAAAGCAAAAAAAAAAAAAAAAGCCTTCCCTTGATTTTGCTGTCCGTTTTCCCACTCTTAATTCTCTGCTTTCTTTCACTATGAAATCTCTCAAAGGCATGGTCTACTCCTCTTGCCCTTACCAGTCATTCCTGGCCTTTTTACAGCTGACATTTGCATTCTCGGAGGTCACTCTTGTTTAGGCACTCATCATCTCCATCACATTGCTTCTCTTGAGGGGGTATGAGGTTAAATTCTGGACCACCCAAAACTAGCCTCTCTGTATATTAGACATCTCCCTTCCCCACTTTCTCATGGGACCTCTTACAATTCCCTGTGTGCCACTCTGCTCCTCTCAGACCCTTCTTAAATTTCTGGAAAAGTTCCTTAGCTTGCCTATTTTCTTTTCCCTCACAGACTGTACACACCTTGGCTTTAAAATACTAATTCCCCACAATATCCCTGTGAGCTAGTAATATCCTCCCACTTTAACAGAGAAAAGTGACTTATTCTGTTTCATCAAAAGAGTTGTTTGAAAAGTCGACAAAAGAACCTATGTCTCCTTTCTATCAATACAGTTTTCTCTCCTCTTAAGAATGACTCATATTTATATAGTGTGTTCAGGCTTACAAAGCATTGTCCTCCATATCAGCCTAGTGAGATAGGTAGTACAAACATTATCTCCATTTTGTAGATGAAGAAAGTGAAAATTAAACAGACTAAGTGACTTGCCTATGCTCAAAGCTATTAAATGTGAGAGAAGGATTTTAAACCCAGGCCCCACTATCCAAGGCCCAACAGGTTTCTACTATGCCACATTGCTTATCATTATTTTTACATATAGAAACTTGCAGTCAATTCTATATTAATTCCTTTGGTAACCTTCATCCTGATTTGCTTTTGGAAATCCCTCAGGGACATACTGCCAGCAGAGAGAGGTGGAGGCAATCATGGAAGGTGATGAGGATGATCGTAGCTGCTGCTGCTGTAAACCAGGTCACCTGCCCCATCTGTTGTCCTGCAATGCAGCTTTCAACCTACGTTGGCTGACTTGGGAAATCACTCGAACTCAGTACATCCTGGAAGGATACAACATCATTGACAATAATGCAGCCACTATGCTACAGGTCTTTGATCTCCGAAGGATCCTCATTAGATATTACATCAAGGTATCGATTCTTTTCACAAGTGGACAGTTAAGAAGGGTTTTATGATTGAGTTTAGGGTTTAGAGCACTGGACTAGAAATCCAGAGAGCTAGATTCTATTCCCAGTTCTGCTGTGGATGGATCAGCCATTTCTCATTTGGACCTTTCCTTTGGTGTCCAAAAAATATCATCAATGGTTGCCAGTGATAATAATGATGAAAGTAGATAAGACCTTGAAATGTTACCAACATCTCAACATCTATACTATTATATGCAGCATGAGCATTTATATAATGTGGTGATTGCCCTACCTTGGATTGAAAATGCATTTGCAAAGACCTTAGAGGAATCCAAAATCTTTGAATACAGTAAGTTCATTAATAGGTTTCACCAGAGAAACTCCCTATTTCCAAATACTGTTCATTAAACAAACAAAAATAATAGGCAGTTTGTGCTGCCTTCATTCTTGTTCCAGTTAGTAGGACATTTCTTCTCAATGTCCCTTTACATATATCTGTCTAAAACAGCAGTCAATCTGATGTGGGTAAGACCATAATCACTTGTTTACTTTCTGAATGAGGTAAGAATCTCCTAGACAGGGTGTGAAATATCCTTTTCCCTGAGTCCTCGTTGGTCCACCAATGAGGCCGTTTGTTCTAGTCCTGACTCAAATTCATGACTCAATTCATACATACACACACAGATGGACCTGGAGGGAGACCTAATAATGCAGAAACTCAGAAGAGTACCAGAGCACCAGTGGTATGGTAATTAAAGCAGTACACAGATGAAACAGTGACTAGGGAAGGTTTCAATCAAGAGACAGAAAGACAGATCTAGAGGAGCAAATGTGGAATTTGTCCTTTGTTGGGGCCTCTTCTGGGACAATTTTACAAGTCACATGGACTGTGCAGGTCTTTGGGGGAAAGTTGGCATGCTGAAATTGGGGGAACTCAACTCCCTAGCAGCCCCAAAGTTCTTTTATCTTCTGGGGGTTCCCATTAAGGATAGTTCTACCTTCTATAGCAAAGATAGCATGTGCCCCATGAGGAAGTGGAGATCTACCAGCACATAGGGGTATTACTTGACTTTCTAGAAACCTTTAGTAATCTCTTGTTCAATACAGGAGCCAAGGCATTACTCTAAGCATAAAGAATTGTATAGTTTATTTGGAAAGGTGGACATCTACTGCAAAGGGGGAGTGTTACTGACCATTTATGGGCATGGGTATGGATCCCTTTGCATTTTCTGGAAGCTGAGACACCTTTTCGGCAACAATGTGAGATAAATTAGGATGTTCACAGAGTAAACTTTAAGTGGGGGCACAAATTATTATTGAGTTATCATCGGGAAACCTTCAAGATTGAACCAGTTCCTGTGAATCTCAAGCTGATATTTTGAGCCATAGGATTGATTGGGGTTTTTTTTGTTTATTTGTTTGTTTGTTTTGGTCTAAAACTATGAGTCTATCAGTGTAGAGAATTCCAAGTGTAAAGAATTTCCGACTTCTGCCTCCATACAGATCAGCAACTCATCTATAAATTACAGTCTTAGAAAGTAGCCTGGGGCATTAAGAGCTGTAAGTTACAAATTTAAGAAAGGTATAGAAAATGTGTGATGTTTTGGAATATTTCTCTTGGAGGAAAAGTGTCAAAATGTATAAAAGTGGAATAGGGGAAAGGAGATGTGATTACAGTTATCTTGGAAAAAAATGTTTCCTGAAGAAGAAGTTAAGGTCATAGAAAGTGACTATGGGACAAGACAGGGGTGTCAACATGTGGACCCATGATATTTCTGAGGATAAAATGTACTTGGGAAATATTTAACGAAATAAATAAGTTAATATAAAAAGAAATATATACACATGTGTGTTAAGTCAATATGTAGCCAGCAGACATCCTTATATGTAATTTAGTGCCCCTGCTTCTATTTGAGTTTAACTCCACTGGGGTTGGGTATAGTTTGGGGTGATTTAATAAAGCCCCTGCCCTTGACATCATAAATAATAATAATAGTAATAGCTGGCAGTTATGAAGTATTTAAGGTTTGCAAAGTACTTTACAATTATGATCTCATTTGATCTTCACAACAGCCTTGGAAGGTAGGTGCTAGTATTTGCATTTTATAGATGGAGAAACTGAGTCACACAGAAAAAAATGAATGCAAAAGGGCAGGGTGCCAAATATAGCATTGATCAAAAAAGGACAAATATCTTGACTTGAAATGTCTGAATTCAGTTACTGCTAGCTAATGAACTACATCTCTCAACAACCTATGACAATGCATGTTACCTTCTAAAAGAAGATGCAGCAACGTACATTTTTAGATATGGCTGCTGTATGCATTTATTTTCTTGATGATGCTTAATTGTTATATTTTTTTTATCATTCCATTTTTCATTGGGGGTGGGGAAAGGTTGGGAGATAGCAATGGTAAATCCAAAAAGGAAAAAAAAGAGGAGCCCATTGAACTCTTTTTAAAGGTATAGAAAGGAGTACAGGAGGTATTACAGGCAAAAATTAAGCTAGTTGCTAAGACTCACACAGACTAAGAGTATGAGGAAGGCAAAGGAGGAAGGAAGGAAGGAAGGAAAGAAGGAACGGAGGGAGGGAGGAAAGGAAAGGGAAGGGAAGGGAAGGGAAGGGAAGGGAAGGGAAGGGAAGGGAAGGGAAGGGAAGGGAAAGGAAGGGAAGGGAAGGGAAGGGAAAGAAAAAGAGAGGGAGAGAAAGAGATAGAGAAGGAAAGAGGGAAGGAGAAATGGAGATGTAGATAAAATGAGATAATATTTGTAAAACACTTTGTAATTTAAGGTGTTATATAATTGCTAGCTAGCTAATTGTAGTACTAAAAGAAGCAGCAGCAACAGTTGAAATAGGTAGTTTTTAAAACTAGACTTGTGATTTTACCCCTGAAGGGAGATATAAGGGTGTGTGTGTGTGTGTGTGTGTGTGTGTGTGTGTGTGTGTGTGGTGTGTGTGGTGTGTGTGTGTTTGTGTAAAATGGAGAAAAGCTTGGCTGATGCAAATTCCTCATATGGAAGAGGCTAGGACCTGCTTCTAAAGATTCTAAAGAATAATGATTTTGATTTTAAATACACACACACACACACACACATAGTTATAGTTATAGATATATAGTTCAGCCATTCAGTCACGTATGACTTCATGACCCCATTTGGGGTTTTCATGGAGTGATTTTCCATTTCCTTCTCCAGCTCATTTTTCTTTTTTTCTTTCTTTTCTTTTCAGGCAACTGGGGTTAAGTGACTTTCCCAGGGTCACACAGCTAGTAAGTGTCAAGTGTTTGGTCTGAGGCAGATTTGAACTCAGGTCCTCCTGACCTCAGGGCTGGTGCTCTATCCACTGCGCCACCTAGCTACCCCTCCAGCTCATTTTTCTGATGAGGAAACTGAGGCAAATGGATTTCAGTGACTTGCTTAGGGTCACACAGCTACTAAGTGCCTAAGACTGGATTTGAACTCAGGTCTTCCTGACTCCAAGCCCAGTTCTCTTTCTTATCCACTGTGCCACTAAGCGCCAAGCTGCTTAGTGTGTATGTGTATGTGTACATAAATATGTATATATTTTTAATGTTATATATTATCTGCCATCATAATTCTCTGTGTATGTGTGTATGTGTGTGTGTGTGTGTGTGTGTGTGTGTGTGTATGTGTGTGTGTGTGTATAATGCTTGACTAATGCAAATTTCTCACGTAGAAGAAACTCAGGAGCTTCCAAGAGAGAGAGAGAGACAGAGAGACAGTGACAGAGAGAGAGAGAGATAATAAAAACTTAATTTAATTTAATTTAAATTTAAAACATTTATCATATTTGATGCTACATAGTAAATATATTTCTATTATGTCATCATAATTATTTGCATATATGTATATGTATCAATATGTGTTAATATATGTATGCAAATGAGGTACAACAGTACCCCTCAAAATATTTCTCAATTTAGAACGAGTTAATCTAAAAGAGAAAAAGAATCTTTCTATCCCTATAGAAATCACTTATATTAAATGCTAGTTTATCACTTAATTACAGTAGGAAGTATGGTACCCTTGGTTCCTAGAGCTGTGTCATTGTCTAGCTCTGTGACCTTGAGCAAATTACATATAAACTCTGACTCTCAATTTCTTCATTTGTCAAATGAGAAAGTCGGAGTAAGCGATTAATCAACCACAAACATTTACTAAATATCTCCCATGGTCCAGGCCTTGTGATCCTTCAGCTTCTTTCCAGATCTTACATTCTATGATTCAAAACAACCACTTTCAGTAGGCAATTGCTAAAATGGCATTTAGCAATATCTTTTTTTTGGGTGGGATGTCAGGGGTGGCAGGAGTGAGGGGGGCAGGTAATGCTAGGATGCACTTCACTTTTAAGCTAGCAATGCAGAATCTCAGAATAATTAAATAGCTACTAAAAATGGAGGAACCAATTCTTTTCAGGGAGAAAAAAATTTCTTTTCTTTCTTTCTTTCTTTCTTTCTTTCTTTTCTTTCTTTCTTCTTTCTTTTCTTTCTTTCTTTCTTTCTTTCTTTCTTTCTTTCTTTCTTTCTTTCTTTCTTTCTTTCTTTCTTTCTTTCTTTCTTTCTTTCTTTCTTTCTTTCTTTCTTTCTTTCCTTTTTTTTTTTTTGGACAGGGAAGCTGAGAAGGAAGAAAAGAGCCCCCAATAATTCCTTTACACAAAAGGACTTTTTTTGTTCTCTCCTAATAAAGTGGGTCAGTTCCCCCAGCCTCTCTGCATATATTTGAAATAATTTCCTTCCTGACGACTTGAGATTTTCCCCTGTGCCACCTCTATCTCTCCTCAGTTTATTCCTGTTTAAATACCTCTTAGTATTTAAGAAATCAGCTGTCTCTGAGTGCCCTGTTTTGCAGTCTTTTCAAAGAGAAAATGTGTTTATCTGTTGTTTTGCAGGTTGAGGAATGAAAAATATATCACACCTGTGAGCATGTTGTACCATCTGTCTGTCTGTCTTTATCCATCTCCCTAGAATTACTCTATATTAAAATACTGATCAACTCTTTAAATGACAATTCAAGGAGATCTGTGATATTAGTGGCCAGATATTTTTAAGTGACTTGAGAGGGACTGCTGTCTCCAAAGGGCTTCAGGATATACACCATCTTTTTGTTTGTTTGTTTGTTTGTTTAAATCTTGCTCACTGATACTGCATGTTTATTTATCAGTTTTATTTAGTCCTTTTGAGTCTCTCATTTTGATGCGTCCTGAAGAATTTTACATGCTGCAATCATCCATGATATCATCAGTCCTAAGAAATCAGGATGAAAAATGTGTTATGTGGCTTATAATCAGTTTCAGGTGGTCTTGTCCTACAAACCTATGAGAGATGTTGATATCATAATCTCCTTTATCCATCTAGGAAAGCTAAGGCAAAGAGAGATAGGTTACAGAGCAAATGACAAGAACTTTTAGCTCTCACAGTTCCAAATCCTTGCTAACCTGAGTGATATCTATTTTTAAGTAACTCCAGGTATCTACTGAAAATAACTATAATGGTGAATTAATAAGCCATATTTCCTTGTTTTTCTGTTTTTCTTATGTGGTGAACTTGATGTGGATATTTGGAGGCAAAACTTTGCTGTACTTAAACTCCGAGAGAGATAAGATTGCTTCTTTTCTTTTTATTTTTTTAAGCAGCTTGGTGGTGCAATGGATACAGCACTGGGCCTGGAATCATGAAGACCTGAGTTCAAATCCAGTCTCAGACACTTACTAGCTGTGTGACCCTGGGCAAGTCACTTAACTTGCCTCAATTTCCTCATCTGTACATTAATAGCACCTGCTTTTGGGGGTTGTTGTGAGGATCAAATGCAATAATAATTTTAAAGTGAGACAATTGACTTCATTCATCAATATGTGCTTAGTAGGTAGCACTGTGAGGCAGTGGGGCAAGTATATAGAAAGTTGGACTTGGAGTCAGGAAGACCTAGGTTCAAGCTCATCTTATGACTCCTGCTAACTGTGTTGATTTCTTAGTGCCCTAAGCTACGCTAAGACTGTACACTGAATTGATAAAGGAAGTTCCTCACCCATGGCTCCCTTCAGGGATGAAATCAGAAGTCCAGTTTTTGAGAGTACCTACCACCATTACTACTGCAATTGCTACTACTAGTATTACTACTACTACTACTACTACTACTACTACTACTACTACTACTACTACTACCACCACCTCCACCACTATCACCACTACTACTACTACCACCATCACCACTGCCACCACTACTATTACTACTGTTGTTGTTTGTCCTTCGTTCTCTAAGAGGACCATGACATCGGGAAGGTGATGTCATGACTTGCAAGTGGCTTGGATTTAAGTGAGGGAGGGCTGGGCAAGATCACCAGCTTCACCCTCTCCTCTGGAGCCATCTGGGTCCAATGGCAAGATATAGATCAGAATGACTGGAGATGGCCCGGGATGCAGTGGGAGATCTTGGCCTTTTTAAGCTAAGTTCTTTCCCAGGTCTCCGTTTGTCTGAAGCAATGCCCATTCAGTGATTAAGACTAGATAAGAATGAGGCAAAGAATGACCTCTTTTACCTAGTCAAAAAAAAAATCAATCTAGGAGGGAAAGACTTTAAGGGTTACTACTAATATTATTAAAACTACCAGTACCACTACTACTAGCTAGCTAGCTAACTTTTATGTCACCTTTTTTGAAAAGAACTTTTCAAAAATTCTCTCATTTGATCCTTACAACAATCCTAGAAGGTAGATGCTATCATTATCCCCATTTTATGGATAAGGAAACTGAGGCAAACAGAAGTTAAGTGACTTGGTAAATATCTGAGACCAAATATGAACTCAAGTCTTCTTTACACGAGGCCCAATGCCTGATCCACGGAGCCATCTAGCGCTACCCTGTGGACTTCATGTTCCTGGGCTCATTTTGGAGTCTGAGGCTGTCAGGAACATTTAACAGAGGAGTCTCTGTTACCATTAAGTAAGAGGATAATGGTATTTTTTCAGCCTTGAAGGATTAGAATATTTCCCTCATTACTGGGTGGAGCTTTCTCAAATCCATCATTACCTTAGCATCCGGGATGGGCTGAGTCCACTATTTTATATTCATTTAGCCCGAGGCCAGCATGGAAGGGCACAGCAGACTGAAACAAAACCAAGAAAAGGTAGTCATTCTTCTTGGGTTCCCTAGTTGGGGGGAAGGAACAGTGGGCTGCTGGGGTGGGGATCATCACAATGGGTGTGAGGGAACTAATGACTATTAATTGTAAGATGAATTACCTACTTAACTTCCACAGATCTTGAGGGCCTGAGCTTTTCTTTGTCCAAGGCAGCCTCTATGTGCTGCTTTCCTTTTGTTGTTTGGAGGGCCTGTAGTTTTAATGGTCACAGAAAGGTACCAATTAAGAATTTGATCCTGCCATGTACATGAATCCTTCTTGGCTAGATCAGGGACAATGATTACACACCCATGCACAGCAGATGATGTCTAGATGAGATGCACAACCATGATTCAGGCACCAGGATCAAGCCTTAAGTAACACTAGGCACCACTTAGGTTTTTCTGTTCTGATGGGAATGTGGAGACTCATAGGGAACAAATCCTTCACTCGTCTCCTTCAACATGTTAGTGAACGCACGGATGTGACCAACCTGAATTTCCAATGGAAGCGTTTTTTCCTTTTGGGGGCAAAGAGATATCCTTTTGAAAAAATGGTGCCATTTACAAACTCCAAGGAGGCTTTGTAGAAAACAATGATTTTGAACAGAATGATAAATATTTTTTTCCCCACTTGATAATAAAAAGCCACGGTATTAACAAATTAGCACATCAGATTATGGAGAGGAAAACAACAGTTTTTTGTAGGCCATCACAGATATCTTGATATCCATAAATACTTTTCTTAAGAAAAGTGTTTTATTTTCTTCTTATTTATTCATTTATTTCTAAGAATAGGTTTTTATTCCGTTTTGTTTTTGTTTGTTTTTTTCTGGTGCAGTATGTTATATTACAGAGGCATCTTAGGTGGCATAGTGGATAGAGAGCTGGACTTTGAATTCTGCTTCAGATAGTTCTGACCCTAGGCAAGTCACTTAACTAAACTCTCTAGGTCTCATTTTCCTCATCTATTAAATGGGGATGGAAGAGACAGAGACCATAAGAGACAATGAAAAAAAATGGAGATGGAATCAGAGAACATTTATCAAGCACTTATTTTGTGTCTGGCATTGTGCTAAGGCTAGTAATACAAATAAAAATTTAAAAAGACAGCCTATCCTCTCAAGGAGAATGCATAGAAATAAGGGAATAGTATCTAGCTCATAGGGTTGTTGTGAGGATTAAATGAAATATATTTGTTTTTTGCAAATCTTAAAGATGTGTATAATGTTAACTATTATTATTACCTTAAACAGTTTGATTCTATAAGTTGCTCAATAGAGTAGTCAGTGAAGAAGCTGGTACCCCCAGCCCTTGAGAGAAAGCACTTTCACCTCTCCAGTGAATTCCCAACAAAAGTATACCTAGCCTAGATGGTTATGGCCCAACATTCATGAAAGCCTTTGATGGTTCTGATCATACTATTGTATAAGACATATGCCCTGTATGCCCCTTTCTTCATCTAAAAAGGCAGAGATAGTTATAGGATTAAGCAGTGGGGTACTTGTTCTTATCCGTTTTTGCAATTCTAGTCACTTACGCACTATTAACTATTGTTTTCTGATGATTTTCTTCCTTATCCCAACAGCCACTGAAAACAGGACACTTTAGAAATGTACAAGTGGTTTTATGAGGGTACATCTAACAGGAAACAGGGCTAAGAGGACATATGAAAATTTTCTTATTCTCTGGAGTCTGATTTACTTTCTCAGGTGTAGCTTTTTTGACTTTTATAATGGATGAAAGACTCTCAAATCTTGCTTTTCCTCTACAGAGTATAATATACTTTACGGTGAGCTCCCCTAAACTCCTGTCCTGGATCAAAAATGAATCAATCCTTAAGTCCCTGCAGCCTTTTGCCAAGTGGCACTACATCGAACGTGACCTTGCAATGTTCAGCATCAACATCGATGACGATTATGTTCCATGTCTTCAGGGGATAACCAGAGCAAGCTACTGTAACGTGTATCTGGAATGGATTCAGTACTGTGCACACAAAAGACGGGAGGTATGTGGGGATGTGTGTGTAGCAAGGTCGGGCTTCACAGCACTATGGGCAGAGAACACAATTGCAAGAGGCTTACTGAGTGCATTTTCTCTAGATGGCTGATTTTATTCAAGTAGAAGAGATTAACACTTGAATAATTTTGAGAAGTGGTATAGCATAGTGGATAAGGGGCACTAGGTGGCACCAGAGTGCTAAGCCTGGAGTCTGGAAGATCTGAGTTCAAATCCAGTCTCAGACGTGTACTAGCTGTGTGACCCTAGGCAAGTTATTTAACCCTGTTTGCGTTCATTTCCTCACCTATAAAATGATCTGGAGAAGGAAATGGCAAATCATTCCGGCATCCTTGCCAAGAAAAACGCCAAAATGGGCTCACAAAAAGTTGGACATTGCTTAAATGACTGAACAACGACATAGGAGAGTGGATAGACAGCTAGCCTTAGAGTCAGGAAAATTTAACTTTGAGTCCTGCCCTCTGACTTACAATGGTTGTGTGACCCTGGACAAGTCATTTCATTTCTCATTGCTACAGGTGACTTTCTAAGACCATAAGTTTCAGAGTAAGTGCCATCCTGCATTAATAAAGGAAATTTCCTCACTGAGAATGACCTATTCCAATAAAATCACAGGTTAGGTGAAAAAATGATTTTCAAAAAAATCATTAGTTGTAAAACTTTAAGCAAGCATTATATGTAATGGGGATGAGCTAGAAGCATTTCCAATAAGATCAGGGGTGAAACAAGGATGTCCATTATCACCACTGTTGTTCAATATGGTACTAGAAATGTTAGCTTTAGCAATAAGAGAAGAAAAATAAATTGAAGGTATTAGAATAGGCAAAGAAGAAACAAAGCTGTCACTCTTTGCAGATGATATGATGATATACTTAGAAAATCCTAGAGAATCAAGTAAAAAACTACTTGAAATAATAAACAACTTTTAGCAAAGTTGCAGGCTATAAAATAAACCCACATAAATCATCAGCATTTCTATATATTATCAACAAAGCAAGAGATAGAAAGAGAAATTCCATTTAAAGTTACTGTAGACATTATAAAATATTTAGGAGTCTACTTATAGAAACAAACCCAGGAACTATATGAACACAATTACAAAACACTTTTCACACAAATAAAGTCAGATCTAAATAATTGGAAAAACATCAGTTGCTCATGGGTAGGCCAAGCCAATATAATAAAAATGACAATTCTCACCTAAGTTAATTTACTTATTCAGTGCCATAACAATCAAACTACCAAAAATTATTTTATAGAGCTAGAAAAAATAACAAGATTTGGAAGAACAAAATGTCCAGAATATCAAGGGAACTAATGAAGAGAAATGTTAAGGAAGATGGCCTAGCCATTCCAGATCTTAAATTGTATTATAAAGCAGCAATCATCAAAACTACTTGCTACTGGCTAAGAAATAGAGTGGTGGATCAGTGGAATAGCTTAGGTATGCAAGACACAGTAGTCAATGACTATAGTAATCTACTATTTGACAAACCCAAAGACCCCAGCTTCTGGGATAAGAGCTCACTATTTTTCAAAAACTGCTGGGAAAACTGGAAAAGAGTATGGCAGAAACTAAAGCATAGATCAACATCTTACACCATATATCAAAATAAAGTCAACATGGGTACATGATTTAGATATAAAGGCTGATACTAAGCAAACTGGGAGAGCAAAGAATAGTTTACTGTCAGATTTATGGAGAGTAGAAGAATTTATGGCCAAACAAGAGTTAGAAAACATGAGATGCAGAATGGATAATTTTGATTACATTAAATTGAAAAGTTTTTGCACAAACAAAGCTAATGCATCCAAGATTAGGAAGGAAGCAGAAAACTGGGAAAGAATTTTTACAACCAAAGTCTATGATGAGGGCCTCATTTCTAAAATATATAGAGAACTAAGTCAAATTTAAAAGAATACAAGTCATTCCCCAATTGATAAATGGTCAAAGGATATGAACAGGCAGTTCTCTGATGAAGAAATTAAAGCCATCTATAGTCATATGAAAAAATGCTCTAAATCACTATTGATTAGAGAAATGCAAATCAAAACAACTCTGAGGTACCACATCACACCTATCAGATTGGCTAACACGACAAAACAGGAAAATGATAAATGTTGGAGAATATGTGGGAAAATTGGAACACTAATACATTGTTGGTGGAGTTGTAAATTGATCCAACCATTTTGGAGAACAATTTGGAACTATGCCCAAACAGCTATAAAAATGTGCATACCCTTTGACTCAGCAATAGCACTTCTAGGGCTGTATCCCAAAGAGATCATAAAAATGGGAAAAGGACCCACATGTACAAAATTATTTATAGCAGCTCTTTCTGTGGTGGCAAAGAACTGGAAATTGAGGGGGATGTCCATCAATTGGGATATGAATATAATGGAATACTATTGTGCTATAATAAATGATGAGCAAGCAGACTTCACGAAAACCTGGAAAGACTTGTATGGACTAATGCTGAGTGAAGTGAGCAGAACCAGGAGAATGTCATACACAGTAATAGCCACATTGTACGATGACCAACTTTGATAGACTTAGCTCTTCTCAGCAATGCAAGGATCTAAGACATCTCCAGAAGTCTCATAATGGAAAATGCTATCCACATCCAGAGAAAGAACTATGGAGTTTGAATGCAGATCGAAGCACACTATTTGCTCTTTTTTTTCCCTTCTGTTTTGTTTCTTCTTTCTTGTGGTTTCCCCTATTGATTCTAATTCTTCTTTACAACATCACTAACATAAAAATATGTTTAATAGGAATGTATATGTAGAGCCTATATCAGATTGAATGCCAACTTGGGAAGGGAGGTGGGGAGGGAGGGGGAGAAAATTTAAAACTCCAAAGCTTATGGAAATGATTGTTGAAAATTAAAAATAAATAATTTTTTTTAAAAAAAATCATTAGTTATAATACAATGAAAGGATTAATAGAGCAGCCTTCCCCTCCCCCTACACCTTTGTACATAGATCAGGTATCTTAGGGCCACTGTAGGTTGCCCTCTTCATCAGCTTTATCCTTGAAACTCTTGTTTTTAAATCATACTGCCAAAGTGTATTCCTGCTGAAATCTATCTTCAGGATGATTTGCCAATTAGTACAATTTATGACACATAATTTTTTATCATAGAGCTGCAAATTCTATAACCTAATTTACTACTTTGGTGCCACTATTACTGAAGCAGCTAGATGGCTCAGTGAATAATGTGGTGGGCCTGGAGGCAGGAAAACCTGAATTCAAATCCAGCCTCACACACTTACTAGCTGTGTGACTTTGGGCAAGTTGCTTAACATCTGTTTGCCTAATCCACCCAAGAAGCAAATGATAAACCACTCCAGTATCTTTGCCAAGAAAACCCCATACAGGGTCATAAAGAGTTGGATACAGCTCAGTCACTCTAACTAGCTATTTCTTATGGGTTCTATTGCTTATATACTGGGGTTAGTTCCGGAATAGAAAGACGTCCCTTAGCCACAAGACAAGGAAAATGTCATGTGTGTATGTGTGTACATATGTGTGTGTATACATATGTGTATACCCATATACATATCTCCCCCATATACTTACATATATAGATGAATTTATGTGTGTATATATATATATACTATATATACATGTTTATATAAATGTCCATATATATTAAAAATGAAAAAAGCACGAAAGCAGAGCTTGAAAGTCCATTTTCACTGTGCTTTTTCTGAAAAAATGAAGGCTTTGTGTAGGGGAGAAAGGAAGGTAAGGAGCTGAGTAGTTTCAAGTTCAGGACAACCTCAGCAAAGAATAAAAGTATGTGGGGAGGGAAAAGTTATCAATTAATCAATAAGCATCTATTAGGCTCCTACTATGTGCCAGGCATTATACTAAGTGTTGAGGATACCAAGAAAGGCAAAAACATCGTCTTGCCTTTAAGAACCTTATATTGTAATAGAGGAGCGAATGTGTGTATGTGTGTGTGTGTGTGTGTGTGTGTGTGTGTGTGTGTGTGTGTGAAATTACAAGACAAATATAGAATAGATGGATGTTAACATTAGAGGAAATAATATAACCTCCACTGAGTAACTATATAATCTTTATGGTCTTGTCTAGCTCAGTTTGTCCCATGATGATAAGCAAGGCCAGTGCTACATCTCAGTAACAAATGCTTTTTGATTAGCAATCACAAAACTTGTTCTCATCAGATTAGTCAATCTCACAGGTCACAGTGGTTTCTCCCAACTGAGCTGTGGCCTATGAATGGTCATCTTGATGGCCTTCTCAGAAATCCCAGCTGGTAAACACAGCACACTGAAAGCCTCATGTCTTTGCTCTTTGGTTGAAGGAGTTCTTTTTCTTGTGAAAGATATCCTGCCTTTACGTGAATCATTTAAGATCCTGACAGAAACTGTCTTTGCAAGATGATATTAATTTGTAGATTGCATAATTGTAGCTAATGCAGAGGACTTTGCACTGAAAGAGAATTCAGTATTTTTTTGTGCTTAAATAAGGTTCCTGTTTCCCAATCAGGAGATCATGATTATAAGGCCCTGCTTCAGGTACTATTAATGTGAGTATTCAGGGGAGTCCTACTAATCTTTACCAAATTCATACCCACTTCATACACTGAGTATTTTTAGATTAAGTGTCCTTATTTGGAGCTTCAATAAGGTGAGAATCAATAGGATTTGAGCACCCATATTAACTTTCACAACCTTCTTCTTCCCATTTAAATGACTACCCCCCCTTTACTGTCTCTTCAAGTTTTAGCCATATCTGACAATGAAATGGGCTCAATAATAAGGTGGTGAGATCCCTGTCACTTGAGGTATTCAAGCAGAGATTGGGTGATCATCTCTCAGGGATGCTGCTGTAGAGATTTTTGCATTTTGTGGGAGATTGAGCTAAAGTATCTCAAAAGTCTCAACTCTAAATTCAATGGTTCTGTGCATATAAATAAATTTTCTAGTTCAGTAAAGTTTGCTGCATTATAGGTTCAACTTGCAAGTAAAATGATCCTTTTTGTCTCTCAACCTTTGCAGCGTTTGGACAGTGATGAGGACTCTCCTTTGGTTACTCTTTCCTTTGCCTTGTGCATCATGGGAAGGCGAGCTCTGGGAACTGCCTCACACAACATGGCCTTCAGGTAACTAGAGAGGAAATGATGGGGATTTTCTTGGCTATTTGGGGCACTTGTGTGGATGCTACATTTTCTCTGCAGATTCTGAAGGGATATTGAGACCATTTCAAGCTGGAGTGTGAAGAAGAAGAAAAAAAAGTATTGAGATTTTGACTTGTTTTTAAAATAGACTTTTTGTCTTGACTAGAAAGCTATTGATTAGATTGGCTTGAAGGATTGGAGATACTAGATAGGAATATTTGCATTGAAAAATATTGTATTATTAATAGGTTTTTAGAAAGGCATAATAGAACACTGACAGGCAGGAAGAAGTGGGTTCAAGTATTGCCTTTAATATTTACTAGTTGTGTGAGTCTAGATAAATTGCTTAAGCTCTATACACCTCATGACCTATAACATCCTTTCCAGTTTTAAATCTTTGACACTATAATCTACCAATTCATAGATGGGTTGAAATCTACATTGGTAAGGAAAATTCTCATACCAGGAGTTCTCCCACACTGACAAAATCATAGATCCTTTATTCATTTGACTATTAGGTTGTTAACAAATGAATTTTTTTCTATATCCAATTTGAGTTTAATAGTTCCCTTCCAATTTAAATCATATTTGAAAATCAAGTGATATTCATTTTTCTTTCCCAGCCCTATCCCCACACAGCATACTCCAAGATTGCTATTAAAGAAGCGGTTTAGAGTGAGTGATCCCAGTAGCTCCATCAAGTACTCACATGTGCCCATATTTTCTGGGACTTGATTTCTGGCTTTTTACATGCCTGAAACACACCAGTTCCCATGTGTCAAGGAAGAGACCAAGTGAAATCTATCACTGGGAAAAAAAAAATGAACACCAGTGAATATACATATAAATTGCTGGGGATGTATCAAAACAAAAAATATCACTTTACAAAGAGCTAATGGGTCCAAAAGGAAAGTAAATGTAGGTTGCTATTCACTGAGGAATAATAATAATGATGATAGTTGGTACTCTCTGACTAATGCCAAATGTATACACTGTCTCTCTATATTTCCCCCGCTCCCAAACCACTTCCCACTTCTTAGCAGGGCACAATAATCAGCAACAATCTCCTGAAAAGAGTATCATATGTATATTAATTTACAATCTTTGTAACTTCCCAGACCCCAAACTCCTTTCCTGGCCACCACTCCCATAGATGTGTTAACTTCTTCTATTTGAATGTAAGCCCCTTAAGGGCAGGGACTATCTTCCTTTTTTGATTAGCACAATGCCTAGCACATAGTGAGTTCTTAATAAAAAGGTTTTTTTTTCATTTATTCACATAATACTTTCAAAGTTGCAAAGCAATTTATGTAATAAATTGGATACTCACAAAAACTCTGTGAGTGGGTGGGAAGATGAAGTGTTGTGCATAACACAGCCTCTTCTAAAGTCCTTACTAAAAGGGATTATAAATTATCAGCCTGCTATAATTCATTAGTGGCAACCTGTTAGGTGAAAGAAGTTGTAAATTGTGGACTGATAAGCAGGGCGGCTAACTTGCTGTTATCTGTTTATATTGTCATTTCACTCTGGGAAAAGCAGTTGCTAAGAGTCACTAAGAATAAGGAGGTAATAAAGGATAAGGAAAGCAGTTTTATTTCATCAGCAACCTTTCAAGTCTTGCAGCCCAGCACTTCCTGCCTTTCTCTGTATGAGTAAAACCAAATCTCTTACCTTTATTATGTTCCATTAGGGTATATTGTAGAAACATTCTTTCCCACTACCTTGCAACTTCCCCAAGTCCCAACAAATTAACAAGTATACCAACCTACTAGCAGGATAGATCTTGTCTAAGTCTTCACAGACAATATCCCAATCATGAACAAATAGGATGATTGTTCAAGATTGTAGGAAGTCGTTCACAGATTTCAATGTACTGTCTGCTCAGAACATCACTCTTATTGAAATCATTGACAGATACAAGGTAGTGTAGGAAGCAGTCAACAATGAAGACTGAGTTTTTTTGCAGGGACAAAACAATCATAGAGGCAGCAGAATTCTCCCTGTGGTATTTCAAGTAAGTTAAGACAACAACATAACAAGCCAGCTTTTCATTATTTTAAGGAGTCTTTTTTAAAATTTTATTTTATAACTGCTTCCTGCTTAAAGGTAAACAGATGCATTTTAGAGTATTTCACTCTTTTGTTTCATATCTCAAATGTTTTCAAAGACTTCTTTTAATATCTTTCTCTTTGAACACCTCATTCAGAATATGTCAGGTCCATGCTTTTCATTTCTTGCTCTCCTTTCATTTTCTCTTCATTGAGCAGCATACTTGCTGGCTACTTCTTTTATTATTTTAAAAATTCTATTTCAATGGTATTTTCTTTATTTTCTTCATTTTTCATGTTCTAAAATAAGTCAACTCCACTTGTTTGTTTCTGAACATTGTGAGGTTTGGAAAGACCTCAAGGTTATTGAAAGTACTCTGAGGACTTTCAGGGAATGATTAAAATAACTGGGCTGCTACAGTTTAATGAGAGACCCACACCATTCTAGAGTCCTATGATGTGGTTTTATTTTTCTCTTTGACTTAAAAAAAGGATGTTCCTTATCTGTTGTCCCTAGACAATGCTGTCTATATTTCTTAACCACAGCATCGTTTAAGGCAAGGATTCTTAACCTAAGATATGCAAGACCCTGCTACATCTCTGGAGAGATTTCAGAGAGTCCATGAATTTGGATGGGAAAGAAATATACATATTTTTTTCACTAATTTTTGGTTTCCCCCATAATCCTATGCAATTTATTTTACGTATTTAAAAGCATTATTCTGAGAAGTCTATAGGCTTCACCAGACTTCCAAAAGGGTCCATAATACACAAAAAAGATGAAGACCACCTGACATAAGGCATGTTGTTTATCCACTATCTGACACTAGCAGAAGGAAAAAGAGTCAGACCCATAATGTTTTTGGAGGATATCCAATACATCCGGTTTTGATGGTGCTTTACTACAAAGAATCATTGTCTTTTGGGAAGTTCCAGTCTATGGGCCTTGCCTGAAATGCACTTTATGGGAAATAAGTTATATTATGTTCATACACTGAATTTCATATAAAATCAGATGATCTGAGAATACTTAATCCTACGCATGAATAAGCTGTGTTCTCTAGGTCCACTAAAGTAGACCCCAGAGATTTAGTGATGAAAAACTGCATCCTCTTATTCCCTACAGCCTTCCTACAATGTTATCTCCCCCTACCCCCAGGCATTCCTCAGTAAAATAATCCACCCATTTACAAAATCTGGAAGTCATAATAAACCACAAACTGAATGCAAATGAGCAAAGGAGTGTTGCTATTTAAAATACTACTATCATACTGGAATGTTTAAACCTAAGTGGAAAATGTAAAGGTGTAGAAATAGTTCTGTGATTCATAAGACAGGGCAAGTCCTTGTTTTAAAGTCTACCAAGTGTGGGGCAAAATGGAAAGAATAATAAAATTATTTACAAGAATGGAATAATTCTCATGAGAAGTCAAAGGAGTTGGTGTCACTTAGTTTAGAGGTTAAGAAATGACTTGATTATCATTTCCAGATACATGACAGGTTATTTAATAAGTTGGATACTGCCCACTTTTTGGTCTATAAAGGAAGAAAAAAGCAGTTAAATAAAGTCAAGGTTGGTTGGTTTGTTTTTCCATCAAGGAAGATTCTTTAATGCAAGAGGCTTCTTAGCATTTCAATTCAGTTCAACAAATATTTAAAATCTTACTAAGGTGTTAAAATTCTAGGGTTACAGAGAAGAAAAATTATACCTTCCATGTCCCCCAGGAACATTCTACTAAGAAAATGAATGGTTTGCCTTTCTTTACCCTTTGAGATCTTCCAGAAATAGAATAGAAAAATCAATCAACCCTATGTGGTTTAAATAAAGTATTGGTACTCTGAGGTATGTGTGTCAGATGTTGACACATTAGGCTATCTTAACACTGTTTCTCTGAGGACTGCAACTATTCTCCCTCTCCTGACTTGTATGTAGTATATATTTTCATCAGAAAGAAGAAAAGAATAGTTCCTTTCTGATAGGGAAAGGGGTTCTGTCATTACAGTGACATTATATAGTGACATTATATAACAATATAGTGGCAGCCATTGGGTTCAGGGTATAATAGTCCAAGGTCAAGAGTGTTAGGTGCTAGTCATACAAATACAAGGGATAAATCAATCCCTATTGGCAAGGTCTACATTCTAATCAGAGAAAGTATATATAACAATACATGCGGCATAAATATAAAGTGAAAAAATAGAAATATATGCAGAGTCATGAAAAACAAGATAGGGCACTTGCAGCTGGAGGGATCAAGAAAGGTTTCCGGCAGATGGTGGTGCCTGAGCTGCATTTGTCTGGAAGGAAGAGTGGGGCTCCCTAAGTTGGGGCTGGAGGCAGAGTATCTTTTTTTTTGGGGGGGGTTGTTAGGCAATGGGGTTAAGTGACTTGCCCAGGGTCACAAGCTAGTAAGTGTTATGTGTCTGAGGCCAGATTTGAACTCAGATCCTCCTGACTCCAAGGCCGGAGCTCTATCCACTGCACCACCTAGCTGTCCTGGAGAAGGAGTATCTTATCTCTTGAGCAAACAACAGCAAGGATTCAAGTTTAGGATTTAGGCTGCTGTCATTAGACTGGGCTATGCTTGTCAATATCCTTGTCAGTATACTAATTAGAGTTAATTCTGAGAGTTAAAGGAAGTCAGAATAGATCCAGTTGTATGACTCCTATCTTTCCAGAGTAACTCTAACAAATGAGAGAAACTCTGAAAACTGGATTATTATTTGGGTTGACTTTCACAGCCACAGTATAACAGGAATCTAGCTTTAGAGCTGGAAGAGGCCTTAGTCATCATGTCCTATCCCCTCATTTTAGAGATGAAGGAACCAAGACCCAAAGTGATTAAGAGACTTGCCCAGAGTCACACAGCAAGGCAGTATCAATGAATGGTCTAGTAAATATCTGATATTATCACTCAGAGAAAAAAATTAAGG